GACTGATTAATTGTGTCAGAACATTCCAGGAGGCGGAGGAAAGGAAGAGACAGGGGTTCTACACGATGGAAGCTGCTCCTGAAGTGATTTGACCAGCAGCCTTATCCATTTTTCGCAAGGCTGGAAACAAAACACAACCCAAGGCAAGGAAAATGGAGCCATGTGACTCCAGCCTTGGCACATAGAGTCACGGCTGTCCTCCTGTGCCTTGGAGAAGAGGATGATTTGGGTCTCTGTTCTACAATCTCTGTTTTGCTTTTTCTCCACAGTGTCTTGTTTTACTAGCATATGCTGAAACTTGATTTACATTTCATAGCATTAAAACAAAAATCAGGAACTCTTTATCATTTATTAACTATTTGGTAAATAGTTTTTGGTGAATCTTTAACTTTATTATTAGCACTTGCCATGGCAATATAAAACACCTAGTTCCCCAGATAACAGCAGTGGCTTACACATGCTAAACTTGTATTTCCCTCTTACATAAAGAAGTCAAGCAATCGGTACCGCAGGGCTGGTTTGCATGAAGGCCCCAGGGTGAGAGAACCAGATGCCTGTTATTTTCAGCCCGTCAACTTGATGGCCCAAAGTGGCTGCCTGAGCGTCAACCATCAGGTCCACATTCCAGGCAGCAGAAAGGAGGGAAGAATGGTGCTTCAGTTCCCTTTTGGGATGCTTCTGTAAAGTTCCAGGTAGCTTTCCTGCTTTTATCTTGCTTTAGACAGAGGGCTGAGAGACAGCTTGCTATGAGGTAAGCTCAGCTCAGGACCAGCCATCTCCCTCGAGGGGAGGGGAGGGAAGGGGCGGGGAGGCACCGCTAATCCTGCAAGTGGTGTAAGTCACCACGATGAGCCGCCAGGGGACTCTGCAGTCTGTCCATTGCTTCGGGCTGCACTGAGCGGTTGGTAACGGTTGAGATTTTCATGTAGAGCTGCGTGTATGCTGGAACAATTGCTCGGTTCATTTAAACCAGTGGCTACCAGAGCACATTGGAGAACACAGTTGTTCTCAGCTTCTAGCCAGGGACCCTCCCGCCAGGTTTCTGTCCTGCTGTTCATTTCCACGTTCTTTTCCAAGACTTCCAGAGGAAATGTAAGCAGCCTGATGCTCAAATGCTTTTCTGTGTGATTCCCCCCTTGTTCTTTGAAGGAACAGCAAATTGCCTAGAGAAGAGTGGACAAAATGCCAACCCCCCATTTATTTAAGGGTCTGAGATTTGGTGTTAGGAAATAGAAGAAATTTCCAGAAACACTCTTAAGAAACATTATTTCTTTCAAATGTGATTTGGAACAACAAAGGACAATATATTTTGTAGCACAGATTTTAAGACAACTGAATTGGCAGTAAGTTCACATAATGAAACTTCCAACAAGTCTTTATATTTCTCCTGGAATTTCCTTGGTTCTTGATGTATATTTTTAAAATTAATAGCAGCTTTCTATTCTTTCTCTTCCTGTAGTTGTAGAGTTAATGTGAAAATAGCTCGTTGTGTCACTGAGAAAGCCTCCTGGTCAGCCTTCTAGCTAAACAGCTTGTGTGCGTTTTGGTGACAGGTGTGCTAAATAGTAGTTTTCAGGCACTTGAGGGATGCCCATCACACCAGCACTGCGGGAGCCTATTTCTCACCCACGAACAGGTGAGACCCTCCTTTCTTCCGCTGCCTCATCCAGGCCCCCGCATTCTGATTCTTTCTCAAGACCCATTTTCATAAATTTCAGCCCTGCACCAGCAGAGGTAGTCTTGGTTTCTCAAAGACCAGGAACTTAGTTCTAGGTTTTCTGTTAAAGGACAGTGTATAAAATCAGACAAATTGATATGTCTTTTGAGGCCTCAGGATCTCTGCATTTAAAACAAGAACTTGAGTTACAATACTATTCTCTTACACTTTTGAAATTCTAAATCTCCACACAATGCTTTTTTTTAATTGCTAAAATTTTTTCTAGACTATATTTTTCGAAGATTCACAAATATCTGTTAATTTATATTTAAAGATATTATATTTAAGAAATGGAATAATTATTTACATTTAAATAGGAATTTGTCAATAAATATTTGATACTGAATGTTTACTATGAGTTCAAGTATGTAAGCTTAATTTTTGTGGTACTGTCGATAAACCACAAAACGTGAGAGTTGTTGGATAAAGTTTATCTGGGGCAAAATGAGGACCAGAGCCCAGGTGACAGCATCTCAGAGAGCTCGGAGGAACTGCTCTGAAAAGGAGGGGGAGCTCAGTATTATATAAGATTTCAATGAAGGAGGGACGTGTGGTCCAGTACACGTTTAGGCAGAGGCTGCTGCTAGTCGAGGAGCAGGTGTCTCTGTTAATGATTTTAGTGCTTTTCTAGATAGGAGGAGATGCAAGAATTTGGGCTCATAAAACTTCCTGAAAATGTCTAACTATCTGAAGACTTTTCTGCCCATTTTCCCAGAGCACAGCGTGCCCCATTCCTGATGAACTACTTTCAGAGGGTGTTGAAGGTCAGCAGCTGCAGTGGCTCATGACTTAACCAAATCAGAGGCAGATGACAAGTGCCAATTTTTAGTTGACAATATGTATATATTGTAGGAAAAAATGTTACTTTCCAGCCCTACCCGTACTCTAGTTTTAGTTAGAGGTCAACGGATAACTGTTAGATGACTTAGGTCAGACGAGGGGGGGACGGAGTCGTCTCGTGAGCCGGCCGGTGCTCTATGTCAGCCTCCTTGATCACATTCAATTTTCTTTCTCTTCAAACAGCATGCTTCTGATTTTGTGAAGTTTGGAGCCTGTCCTGAGCACATGGGGTCTGGAGGTGGCCCTGTTCCTGTGGTCTTTGTTTATTCTGTGAATTATGGTGTGAATCTTTATGTGCCCAAGCTTCATCATAATTTCAAACTTAAAGGATTTAAATATGGGAGATGGATGCCAAGTTCTGGGAATAGATTTTCAGGATAACAGCCAGGATTGCTAAAAAGTAGGGAGAATGGATACAGCCTTCAAAAAAGAAATGCTATTTTACGATTCCTGGCAGATAAATTAAAGTGCTTGTTGGGATTCTATCAGGAATGTTTAATTGGGAGACTTGCCTCCCATTTTCATGAAACAAAATAATTTTATTATTTGTTCAGTGCCTACTGTCTGGCAATGAAGTAGCCCCTTTGCATATAGTTTTACCATTTAATCTCTACAAAGAGTCCTAGGAGAACACACGTGTCACAGGTGAGGGAACCAAGATCAT